TCTAGGCATTTCCAATTAGATCAGATAACACTTTCATAAAAATAATTCTAATGTGTGTGCGGGTAAATAATTACACAAACCGTGAGATAGTTGAATTTTTCAACTACAAATTTGTAAGAATATTCCATCAACATTGTAATATCAGATTGTCAATATTTTGTAACGTTGATCTGTCAGGAAATAGTTATAAATTACAATATTCTTACTGCCTAGTAAAAAAAAAATAGAAAACAATTTTGAACACTTTATTGATAATTTTAAATCACTTAGGATGATCCGTTTCTGAACTGTTTCAAATGGACTGCGTTACACCTAGACTGTTCAACTTAAACAGCTGAGACCATGTATTCAGAAAAAAAAATAGTTGCACATTTCTCGCTATGCTCATTTTATCAGCCTTATAGCAAGCAATCAAGTGGAAAAAAATTTATGCAGGAACGTTTAGTCTTTATAAAATATTTTTTACACTGTACTTACCCTAGACTGACGGTAATCGGTTGTGACAATTTTAAAATAGCCGAACAATTGACTTGTTTAAAAAAGTCTGCAGTCTGCAGACAGTTTCGTGCTGAGATTAATAAAATTATAAGTCAATAACAAGGTTACTTCAAACTGTAATTGTACTTATTATCATATGGACATGATTTTCGGCATAAAAGTAATTCTCTTTTAACATGAGGCAATAAGTTTAAATAGGATTTTCCTTCAGTATGTAAATTAATATATTTTATGCATAAACATGTGTAATATGAACAAAGCGGTGAATTAATCATTTGTGAAAATTAAACGATGCGTTCACCTCTCTTGTCAAAAAAATTCTTTGCCTCGTTGAGTTGTAACTTATTCATTCACTGCCTTAAAATATGCGGTCATGTCAATTAGTGATTACATGAAGTAGACATCGCACATTTGATTGGTAATTTCAAACCATATTTAGGCCAAATTCAATTTAGTAAGTATGGACTAAAATAATTTTTGACCTTAAATTGTCAACTACAGCCTTCTATAGCGAAACGAATAATTATTTTATCGGATAACATAGATTTATTAGACTGCGAGATGAAATTATTTAGTGAGATTAACTACAGTATATTACAATAAACAGTATCACTGCGAGAAAGATTGATTGAACTACCAATCAGATAAATTTTCATCAACACACCTGATGAATGATGGAATTACAGTTAGCTTACAGAATTCATGAATAATAATAAAAAGATAGTCTGATCACAGCTCACAGATTAATAAATACTACATTTTCACGGTTCAATAACTATCGATATTAAAAAATGAACGCGCAAACTTAGAGAATTAGTTTTCAATATTGCACTTGGTAAATTAATGAATGTACATATTTTATTAAAAGTCCAACAAGGTTTTAGTTCATACAGGTGACCTAATTAGGATTTAAAACTAAACATTACATTTCAGACTCATAACTTTTTGATAGCAAATAACACTATTGACGTTTACATCACTTGCACATACTTGTTATTATTGAAATATGGAGCTAGTTAGTTTTAATAATAAAATATTCATATATTGACAATAACTACAGAGAATTTATTAGTCACCCTTTAAGGTAAATAACAATGCAATAATGTTTTCTGAATGGACTAGTAAAAAACACTAAACTCCATCATCATATGTCATTTGATTATTTTAGGGAAAGTACTGAAGTTGTGAGTTGTAGTGTTTAATGTTTAAAATGTGATATAAACCTTTATGCTGTCATCATAAAATTAAGTAGAAGAATTCATTGATGGAATTTGTTTTACAGTGTACGTATAAGACATTTTCAACTGACATTCTGTAAGATTAAATACATTTACTCGTATGAGGAAATACCTTGCACCTAGTCTACAACTTATGTAATACTTCGCTAAGCCAAAAATTAAATACACAGATAACTTTTTATCAAAACTGTATTCTGGTCATAGGCATGGAATAGCCTTTACTCATCATCAGAAATCTGTTTTTGAGTTATTGAAAATACGCCGAATAAATATTTTCGTTTTAACGGTTTTCGCTCACGTCTAATCAATCACCCTTCGATGTGGGTTTTTTTTTTGTTATGGACAATTCATTGTGGAACATAATTTTTATGTCGCGAGAATTTCAGAATTTACGCAACAAATCTTTATTGAATTGCAAACTATGTTAAACGAGAACACGAAAATTCAGTTATTTTTAACGCCTTTTCCAATTGGTACAAGACATTTCTCTTTCATTGGAAAATGCTGTTTGTAAAATAAATAAGTGTTCATTGTTGATTTTGCCTCAAAAACTATTCATTAAAGGTGTAATCTAATATCTGACTCTCGACATTTAGTCTTCATTGTATAGACACCGTTTACATTATCTGACCACACTGATTTATTCATCTGTTTAAATAGATATGACATTTTTTCACTAGTTCTTATGTATTCTATAAACGTGGCGCCTAACATCTGTCAAACAATTTGTTTATATATTGAAAAATATTCATATATGTTTAAATGATATGTTAAATTAATGTATCGAAATAGTTGGTTGCAAAATAAATGACTTATTATACATTACAAATGTTATTGGCTTTCAGGCCCAATGATCATTATTGTAATTAGAAATCGATGTCAATTGACAGTGTCATTGAATACAAACAATTATTACGTTTCTCATGTCACGATAATTGCCGACTACAATTGCGAGATTTATGAAAACAAATAAAAATGTGATTTGCACGAAAATTCATGCCATTTTTCAAAATCTTAATATCTATATGATTAACTAGTTAAATTCATGTGGCATTCAGATATAATTGAAGTGACTTTTTCAAAACACTGGTTCCCTTTGATAAATTTGAATAGAGAAATAAGAAGACATATTTTGTGAGATAGTACCATTTCGTGCTTTCTCGTCAGTCACATACAAGCATCATGTTATTTGTGTAAATACAGTTTTGAAGATATGGTCAAAATTTCTTATTTAGCATGACATTCACTCACTAGAACCATGGTAAACAAAGGTCAACATACAATTGTTTTTGAACACATAAAGTTGGACTTTTCCGACCAATCAAGATAGCTTCGAGTAGTTTCAGTGTGTGTGGGTTTTGATGACATGTCACAACTCTAAAGGCTGATTTTGGGTCAATTTGATGACCGCTCATCATTAGATGTTTTGCAATGGACGAGGCTGGGTTTCTTGATCGATTTTGAGATGATGGGCTAGGTTGATGAAACATGGATTTGATTAGACATTTTGGAATATGTTCCCCTATCCTGTCTTCCAATCGGCGATCTGTCCTCCCTAAGTAACTTTCTCCGCAGTTACATGTGAACTTGTAAATACAGTGGGATTTGGACTGAATCGGTCTTGGAGACTTGATTGGGGTAACTGAGATCGATTGGGTTGTTGTGATAAGCCTCAGATTAGCTGCATTGAAGGTCTTTTTTATTGCAGCTGCAGTCTGTTTGGTTGTAATTTTTATTGGTTTTACATTTTTCTACCTTACATCAAACAATGGAATCATCTGACAGACTTTGTAAATAAAATAAAATTCCAACATAAAAAAATGCATATTTCGACATCCAATCAAATAAGTTTAAGCTAGATTGACTTTAATTAATCAGATTACAATGAATCACAATTTCCAGCCAATTAAAAAATTATTACAGGCGACAAACAGTTTGTTCCCAAACACATGAGGTGGGCATTTTGTTTTCGATTAATGAGTCAGTGTTGTTCTGCATACCAGTATAATTTTCATTAAAGATTTAACTTTAGACGGTTGTAATTATTCACACACTGCGTGTTAATGCAAACTAAACAAAATTTATTGTCTGGAATAAAATTTTCATTGAAAGTTTCACTTCTATAGGCAGCAGTATCAGCGTTTATTTTCATGATAATTAATAATAATTAATTTCATAAAATCATATGTCCGAAAAGATTTTTAAAAGACAATTTTCAATTCAGTAAAAAGTATTTGGTTAATGATTTTTTTATTTCGTCAAATCCATAAGTTTCATAACCATCATTATCATGCTGAGAAGAGAAATCTAAATGAAATAAAGTTGATTTGTGCATTTATAATTTTCTATGTACAAACTGAGTTTCCATAAACAAAGTTCTAGAGGGAAAAAATAATTATGTCCTACTGAAAATAATTTTTTTTTAAATAAGTGAATCAACATCTCATCGAAAAAGAAAACGTTATCTATTTTTTGTAATGATTATCCCAGCAAAATACTTCGTATTCGTTGGCCGGACACCATCAGCAACAACGAACTGTGTGAGAGAACAAACCAGATTCCAGTAGAGGAGGAAATGAGGAAGAAGCTGTGGAAGTGGATAGGACACACACTACGAAAAGCACCTAACTGCATCACGAGACAAGCCCTCACATGGAACCCTCAAGGCAAAAGGAAAAGAGGAAGGCCAAAGAATAGATTACGCCGAGAAATAGAGAAAGATATGAGAGGAATGAACAAACATTGGACAGAACTGGAGAGGGAAGCCGAGGACAGAGTTGGTTGGAGAAAACTGGTGGTCGGCCTATGCTCCATTTGGGGTAACAGGCGTAAGTAAGTAAGTAATCTCAGCAAATAGTATCATATCTACCTTAGAGAGCAAAAACTACAAAAGCCGAAAATCTATATATTTACAATCAATCAAATTGCACTAAGTAGTAATAACTTTCGTACATTGTTTACAAAATGTTTTTATAATAACAGTTTTGTAGAGAGTTCATTCTCAATTCACAATTACTTATCCATTATCATTCAATTCAATTCAATTCATTGGTTAGAGTCTTAGTATCATTTTGATTTTCATTGGTTGATTAAACTTTCCATATGATTGGCTAACTATTCAAATGAAGAAATTATAACAATTAATCTGATTTGTTTATTCATATTTAGCAATAAACCGCTCCTTATTATTTCAATTAAAAAAAAAAACATACTTTCACCATGTAATAAAAATTTTGTAATACTATTACTAAATGAATATTATTTTCCAAATGTAAAACAAAAATACTAATGATTCATGCAGTACAAGTAATCAAATGAGGATTAAAGTTTTGTTAGAATTTTTATTGAAAATTATCATGATCCTAATAATAATAATAGTGAATAATTTGAAAATTGTCACTACACAATCATGGCAAACTACATTACGTTTAGCAAAACGACATACACATCATTATGATATAGATATTTTAAAAACTGCTATAGATAATTATGCATTTCAAATGAACAGACGAAGAACAACTAATCTTGACAATGTAACAATACATGATTATGAGAAAAATTTTACAAATTTCAATGCTGAATTAGATAATACTGAGTTAGCATTAGTGAATTATAGCAGTGATACAAATACATTAGTTGATTATCTACAAGAAAATAATTATTTTTCAGATCAAACAATGAAAAATTCAAAAAATACCAATTTTAAAAATTCTTTATTTACACAAGTTCACAGTGTATCAACTACACTGTTCACTTGGAATCTATTACAATTTTTATTTGGTTTATTATGTTTTATAATACATGTCACATGGTTCATCTGGTTAATTTGTCATGCGATATTGTTGAAAATACATCAGAACACAATGATTTCTAATGCTGAAATGATTTCCCATTCCAATCTAGGAGAGATTATTGGATGTGATTTACTTGTGAAACATTATCAGTTAAAAATGCATGCAGAATTACATTTAGGCTTTGTAGGTACTATCTATGGATTTATTATATCAATTAGGCAATTGTCAAGTTTTTTCATCGATCATAAATCCACTACTTCCTTAGATCAATCCAGTTTGATTCATCGAAATTATTTGCTATGTTATTTTACAAGGAATATATTACTTGGACTTTTAACCGTTTATTGGATTACTATATTTATCATAATTCTAATCAATATACATTATGTAAAATCAATTTATTACATGAATACTATCAAAATTCCATTAGTTAGTAATATAATTGTTATTTTATATATAAGTTTTATCACTTCATGGATATTTTCTATTGTTATTAGAATGGGCAGTCTGTTAATTAATAATAATTTACAAAGATTTACATTGAAACATTTAACAGATTCAAATCATGCATCTACTAAACAATTATTAAATTTTGAATGTATGAATACTAAAAATTTAGAACATCAAAAGTTATATTTTCATACAGTATGCAATCGAACAACATTTGAACAATGGCTTGAAATTATTATAAATGTATTAAGTGATATTTTACCAAATTTTTTAGTCTTTAGTGTTAGCATCTTTAATTGTTTTATATCATTTAAATCACAGAATAATTCCGCCAAACGTTTAAATCCATATGAACAAACAATGAAACATTTAACATGTAATAAAATGAATAATAATAATAATGAAAATACAATGAAATTTGATAATTTTTCAAAAGAATTGACTTGTTCACCTGAGATTAATAAAAATACAACAGAAATGTATACTGCCTCAACATCATCATGTTTAACTTATCAGTGTGATCTTCTTCCAACACAAAGAAAATATCAATCAGAAGATAATATACTATACAAACAAACATCACAATTGAACGCATCACAAAAATTGTATCAAATAATCTATTTTTCCATATGTTTAATGATATTAAGTTTATGTTTATTGATTGCTCATTTTCTACGTTTAATAATCTATGGGAATTTAATGAGATCACAAGTTAATTATTGTGGTTCATGGAATTTTAATCAAGGTTTAAATGAACCTGAAAATATTCAATTATTTAAATTAGTTCATGAAAATCTACACATTCCTCATCAACATTTACAGGGTTGTATTTTAGCGGAAATATTCATTACTACATTTGTACCGATTGTATGTTTTGTTTTGAGACGTTGTCACACCATATTTTACACATCATGCTTTAAAATACATCAATCAAATAATTTAGAACGAACACTTAGTGATGAGGTATATAAAGAAAAATCTGAATTTCTGTGTAACAAATCAATAAAAACGGATTACAGCAACGTGTCTAAACTTGCAGTACCGATTGGTTCATATATATCATCAACAACTACCGATGATCCCGGGACTCAAAGTACTATCACAGCATCATTATCATCTACAACACAATGCTGTCAATCATCAACGGATACCATAATTCCACCTTGTGAATTATTAAAGTTACAAATGTTTACAAGAGCACAATTTGAACAAAAACCTCAAATTAACGAGTCCCCTTTAAAAACCACATATACAAGTTTTCCAATATATACAAAAGAAGTGCCAGAACAGCAAACATCAACAACTTTTGTACCGGTGTCTATAAAACTAGTAAATTTACAACCTTTATGCTGTCAACCATGTGATTTATTTACAGGTGGTACAAAAATTGAATCTAAACCAGATGACAATGTGATCGAATGTGAATATTTAAGTAATAGCTGTATTTATCCTATTGGAAATACAGCATCAGTTGTAAAGTTACATGTTGTATCAGATTCCAGTGGATATGATGAATCATGAAATAACTTATGGAAGTTTAAACAAAGTGTAGAATAGGAATACAATGAAATAATTTCAAATATGTTATGAACTATGGCAAGTTCTTCCACTGTATCAGAGTATTTGTAAACCGTCATGTATATGTATATATATATATATATATATGTATGTATAATTGTAAATAATAAAAATTATCATGGAAATTTGATGAGACTATGATCTTCGTTTTTATAATTTACAATTATCTCGTTTGAAACAGCATGTCAGTCAACATGAAGATTATGTCATAGGTAACTACTCGTAAGGTGTTTGTGTGTGAAAATACCTGTCATTTGTCGTCGTAGTTAGAGAAGCGAACTCTAAGTAATTAGGATTCCTTGTTCGTTCTACAATAATTTTGTTATACAGTTAGAACGCCTTACATTACGGATTGAACTAATTTTGCATAATACACATATTTTTTATTACTATATTGCATTTCCAGAGTATTTTAATCTGAAGGTGAACGGAACAAATGAGATAAAGCGAGACGATGACGAAATTGAGTTCAAGAAACATATGAAAGTCACTATGATTACAGTAGACAGACTAATTAATTTGATAATCAATAGAAAAGTCAGTAATAATGATAATAATAATCATGTGATGAAACTCAATTACTTGAATGGCTAAATTGCAAAATATAATATAAAGCACACTTTTTGAGGTTGGTTATTCAGTGCAACGTATACATTAGTACTGTATTTCAACAGCACGTAAAACAAAAATAGTTATTGAGATGTCATTCAAATGGGATTGGAAATACCTATTCGCCTATACTTGTAGTTGCATGTTCATCGAAAGAACAATAAGCGTATTATTTAAAAGTATATCAGAATACATGTCAACTGGTTGAATGATTAGTTTGTGTTGATGACTCAGCGGTATCATATGAGTTATTCAATCGATTCTTGAACTTCTATTTGGTTGGTAGACAAAACTGTGTCCAAACAAAAAATTCCTACATCAACGACAGGCAATCGTCATCTCAACCTTAATATGTTTATGTGTCAAGAGTGTTTATGGTTCACTTAGGATTAGCACACATACCTGTCTCTGTTATTTCTCTACTCGTTGTAGAACAGTAATCGCATTGAATATTTTCAAATATTGTTCTGGTTGAACACAAGTTTTTGTTGAATCATAATGGCATTTTCATGGATCACTGTTGTCAGTTTTAAAACTTATTAGGGGTCATCAAAACTATTCTAACTAATTCAATATTATTCCATAAAATATTTAACATCTTATGAAGCAATTGCAAATTTCTCACATTATTAGTATTATCATTATTATTGTTACTAATACTACTTCACCACAGACTTTTCTATTGATTATCAAATTAATTAATTTGTCTACTGTAATCATTAGTGACTTTCATATGTTTCTTGAAGTCAGTTACATCATGGTCTCTCTTCATCTCATTTTGTCCCGTTCACCTTTACATTAAAAGTATCTGATATCTGGATATGATCTGAATAATTTTATGCATATGACAACAAAAGTATTTTTGTAAAGCAATTTTGATTTATTTATTTATCTGTAGAAATCAGTGTGTGCATGTGGAAGATGGGCAAAAAGGAATTGAAATGAAATTGTTTCATTTCATGGTTTTTAATTGTTCTTACTTTACAAATAACATCATGAAACATAAGACTAATTAATACACAAACCATGAACTACACAAGTAAGAAATTTATTTTCTTGCATATATTTATTCTTAACATACAACAAGATATCGACGAAAGAAAAATTCACGTAAATGTGCTCTTCTTTAATCCAAATCACGTTTAAAATATGAAAATAGTCTACGAGTTGATTATTTTGAAATAGTGATAGTTTAATCAAGGTTGATTGACAAGCAGATAACTCTCGATCAACTAAATTAAAAGACTGAGAGATCCTAGGCAAAATAAGTTCAGTTTAAATAAATGAATTATTGCGGAATTTAAAAACAGCACTCATAGACTTATACATTTGTTTAATTAAATGTATTAACCATTGTAAGTATGTATCAGGTAATAATATGTACTTTCACGTGATATTTTTGTCGAAAAGATGAAGATTTATAACCAAAGTGTCTGCTTTTAATGTTGTGGAATTTACTCAGTTAGATGGTTTGAATTAAGCCACTTCAGATCTATTGACTTCCTTGCAAACTTGTGATTTACGTTTCAGGGGTAAACACTACAGAACAGGTAATTTCATTCTAATACAATGAAGCCTATAAAAATGCCTGATCACAAATATCTTCAGAATAAATTAAGCCAATACTCGTATAATATATGAAGGACTCGATTCTGCAGAAAGTAGTCTCTTATAATGGCTGGAATGAGATTGAGAACTAATTAATTCAAAGAACTGAGCTTCGATGAAATATCAGTTAACTAGTTATCAATTTTTTAAAATTTTTCTAATGAAATAGCTTGTGACAAATGAAACTTTTTAGGTCTCACTTTAGCCGTCAAGTGATAATAATTGTAAGTTACTTCATTACCATTAGTGTGGCTAAACACAGTAAAGAGATCAACTTGTAAGTTGAGTATATGCTACAATATTCGCCAACGGTCGTTTCATAATTATTACTACACTTTGAATTCCAAAGTACATTCAGTTTATATTGTAAAAGAATTATTTTCATTGTCAAACCACTGGTAGGTTGAATTGTGAAATGAGAAAAATTCAATTTTCTTACAGTTCAGCTAAATGAATAAATGGATTTTATTCATAATGATACACGGATATTACTGATGTATTTTATGTAACTTTGTGTTTAAGTGTAATTATTGATAAGATATGAAGATATCAACGATTAGCCAACGTAGTTAGCTCTTTTAAGTTGTTTTTTGATAAATTCAAGCTGATCCTCAGAAATTCGATTGTGGTTTATTGGTGATCGACTATTCGGATGTCTGTGAAATAAAATATGTACAGTATAATTCCTTTCTGGATTTCATTGATTTTAGGATGATGACCTTGTTGAGAAAAGCCAGTGAATCGTAACAAAATTTGAGTACATGAGCTACAGCTAACACCAAATTACTAGAGAGTTTAGCAAGTGACACTCGATACCAATTAATTATAGTGTAATTAAAAATTGAATAAAATTCATTTTAGTTAGAGGTTAAAATAATAATTTAAGCTTTGTGTGATTGTAATTTAGTTTTCAAAGCATTTATTACAGTCACATAATGTTTATCACTTGTAACTTTGTAAGTACAAATATGTTGGGGACGTTAGATCCACAGGACTCACTTGGAAAAGCTCCTAGTTTTAGACTTTTTATGTTTTTGCGCATAAGTTGCTCAGTCGATCTTGAGATAACATCTCCCACTCGGAAAATCCTTGAATGTCATTGGTTGATGAAGTATTTTAGTACGCTATTTTTGCGGCCCTCCCAAGGACGTTTCTAGAGAGTATAACTAAGCTCGGTTTGTGTGCTTGCCAACCTGTTATCTCTGGGTGTTTGTAAAATAAACTTTCTACGCCTTGTCAAGACTTCTTGATATAGTTCGCTTGGCAGGGGACAAATGGATTAGAATAGCCTGTCGTGTCACTGCATCATTTATCTTCGTTCCATTATCGAGTAATGTGAATTCGTAATAGTTTCAAGCATTTCAGTTGGCGAGCATACCAAAATAGAATATCGATCCGTTCATAAATGTTTAACAGTTTAGTGGTGTTTATTCAAATTTTTATTAACTCCCCATTCATTCATGTATAAAGGACTATCGATAAATCTACAAAATACATTTGAGATTTTAATTGATCTAATAGCTTAACATTTTTTTCATCCATGTGGTTTTTGTTTTAAATGATGTAGACAGTTTTTCACAAAAATGAACTATTTAATTATTTAGATTAACAAACATTGAATGTTTGAGATAACGATATGAGGAATATCTGGTTTAATAATTTGCCTAATTATTTGGTCAAGATATTCTGTAAATCGTTTAATGAAAGCCAACTGATATTTAATTAATTTCACTGTTTTATTTTTGCCACAGTACAACATGTAGACGTTTTCAAATAAAAATACAATCTGATCGACCTAAGGATTTAGCCCAACTCCACCTCATAGTTAGACATAAACACCATTGAATTTCATCTCAGTTGTCGAGAGGACAGGCGTTTGCTCTCAAGACCGAAGGTCTTGGGTTCAAATACTGCGAGTAGTAGGAGTCGTGGATCCGCACTGCAAAAGAGTCCCAAAGCAAGATGATACGGTCGTCCATTGCTTCTAGGTTTCTACTGCTAGCCTAAAAACGATTGGTTGATGAGTTCACTTGTAAAAATCATGACAGAATTGTTTTTACATTTATTTGAATTTTTTCTAAAAGTATATGGTAAAAGCAACCATCATTATTGTAGTATGAATTACCATTAGACCAGCTAACTTAATTCAGCCAGTCGTTCTACCACCGTATCAGGTATCCTTTCTGAAACCAAACTACTTCAGAACAAATCCAGTTAGTGTACCTCCTCACAACAGACTACCTTTCTTCACGGTGATGACAATTTTGTGTGTACATTGACGGCTTTATAAGATTTTTACTTTTAAAATGAACGAACCTTCTTATCGTTGATTTTACGATTTTCATACGGTGCAAAGAGCATCATCGACAAAACCTGAACAAACTGACTAATGTCAAGAAATTTCTGTTGAGATAAAGATTGTAAGCTCATGAATACATAGATTTGATATTACTTGCTAACTTACTTATGCCTGTTACCCCCGATGGAGCATAGGCCGCCCACCAGTTTTCTCTAACTAACTCTGTCCTCGGCTTCCCTTTCCATATCTGTCCAATTTTCATTCATTCTTCTCATGTCTTTCTCTGTTTCTCGGCCTTGGCCTTCCTCTTTTCCTTTTGCCCTGAGGGTTCCAAGTGAAGACTTGTCTTGTGACGCTGTTAGGTGCTTTTCGTAATGTGTGTCCTATCCACTTCCACCGCTTCTTCCTGATTTCCAACTCTGCTGGAATCTGGTTTGTTCATAGATTTGATATGAATTTTCTAATTCTCACTAAAAATTTCTTTGGATTTTCTGATTTCCGAATGAAAATATATGTGAAAATGTTGGATATTTGGATCCTCTGCTTAGGGAATATAAAAATACTCTGCTGTCCGCTAAAGCTGATTTCTCTTTGTAGAT